CTAAAATGAAAAACAGGCCTTTCAAATGCCCAGAATCAGCTGCTACCGTCCAGAATCTGGCTCATGCCAAGAGAGCAGCAGATCTGCACGAGCCACAGCTTAAACGGGAATGTCATCTCCTAAGACGAGGATCCGCAAAGTTTTTCTGTACAAGGCCAGACAGTAAATAATCTATACTTTGCAAGCCATACAGTCTCTATGGCAACTACTCAACTCTGCCTGATAGTGTACCAAAGCAGCCACAGACCACTTATAAGTAAATAAAGGTGGCTGTCTGCCAATAAAACTTTATGGACCCTGACTACTGAATTTCAAATAACTTTCACATGTCACGATATTCTATTTTTCATTTGATATTTTTCAACCATTTAAAAGGTAAACATGATTGTTAAGTCACCAGCCATACAAAAACAGGTAGCTGCGGCCCGACCAGATTTGGACCATGGACCATAGTTTGCCACCCTGGCCTAGGGCCCATGCCATTTCCTTTCCCTTCCATTTATATAAACCTACAAATATATGTGTCCCTTTTAGCAAAACATTCCTTTTGTTTCTTTGGCCTCTGATGTCTGGTCTCTATTTCTTTTCCATAGGTCCCGAAAGTCCAACAGAGCAATCAGGAGGTCAGGAAAGACACAGAGCACAGCCTGGAGAAAGGACACCAGTTCCTCCTGTGTTGCTTTCCAGCTACGTGGTCTTCTGCAAGTTACATAACCATTCCAAGTCTCCATTTCACCATCCATAAATCTTTTTTGAAAAAAATCATGGTACCCAATCACCTGAAAGTATTCCTGAAGGTGTGACTTTATACTGAGTAAGGTAAGTAGAACAGAAAAATATAACCTGTGGAGAAGAGCTGCAACCACATTTCAGAAACAAGGCCTTGCCAGATATTTCATTGATAAATTGACAGATCATGTTAGCGTATGGGTCCCTGGGTAGAGAAAGGGAGCTCAGTGAATTTAGTTAAAATCCTGGGGAAATGAGCAGCTAGCAATCTCACTGACTGCATACCACTTTTCAAAATTCTACAAGTGGACCAGAAACTCAACATATACACATTGAGAATCTTTGTTATAGAACAGGGAAGATACTGTAAGGAGCACAAAAATGAGTAACTTAGTCCCTCACTTCAAAGAATTTACAGCTTGTTAAACATAAAAATCACTCACAGGGACACCTGGGTGGCTCAGTCAGTTAAGCATCCAACTTCAGCTCAGGCCATGATCTCACGGTTCGCGAGTTTGAGCCTTGCATCCAGCTCTGTGTTGACAGCTCAGAGCCTGGAGCTGCTTGGGATTCTGTGTCTCCTTCTCTTTCTGCCCCTCCCCCGCTTGTACTCTGTTTCTCTCTTTCTCAAAAATAAACATTACAAAAATCAATCATACAAAGTAGGTATTATTTATATAAACCAACTGCGTTAAAAAGAGAAAGTAAGCCAAACAAAAGATAGTTAAGGGGTGGATTTCCTAGGAGCTAGACTTAACAATGACAAGAATTTCAAAGAGAACAGACACAGAAATTTGAGAGTACGGCACATGCAGAATTGTGGGGTATGCGAATTATCAACTCCACTAGACATTACTCTACTGTTCTCCAAAGATGATGTACTTCTACCAATAGCTTGCAGGTTCCCATCCTCAAAACAGTTGTTACGATCAGAGTTTATTCTTAAAATGCTTTAGTCAGTGTGATGGGGAGAAAAGGGAATTTCAATTTAATTTTCATTTCTCCAGAGCTGCTTTCTATGTCCCTTTTTATATTATTAAATAAAAGGCATAGTCTGTTTAGGCATGCTGAGTCGTTCTGTGTGGCTGGAGCCCAGTACACAGAAAATGTACAGAAGGACAAGCCTCTCTCTCTCCACCCCATTCCAGACGTTTCTCCAGGACCTTGGTCTTCCCTCCTCCACCCCCAAAATTGCCAGTTTGCATCAGTAGATTGGACAAACCTTTCCTTTCCTCCTTGAATGTGCCAGAGTAAATTAAAGAGTTTATAAATGAACATGGTTGAAAAATACTGGTCTTGACAGAAACATCTGAAACCATTTCCTCCATTTTTGCCCAAAACTTGGTTTCTGCCCAAATTTAGATCAGGGAATAGTCAAGGTACCTTAGAAATACACACAAAAATTTTGATCCTGGCCTGGAGACCTGTTTGTAAATGCTTGGCGGAAATACATCCATACCTCTCCTTCTCTCATCTGGAAGGCAGAAAAGTATAGGAAAGATAAATGAGAGTTTTAACCTGACTTATGGAAACTCATTAGGAGAGTTTTACCTCAAAAGCTCCCACAGGGAAAATACTTATGGTAAAATCTCTATAAGTAATTCTAGGAGAAAATAATTGTTTTCAACTAAATTCTTTAGATTCTTTCCATGCTAAAAGCAAAGTGGCAACCAAAAAGGAATGAACATTACACAACAGAACTCTCAGTAGGTATACCTAAAAAAAGTGTTCTCAACTCTGGTCAACACACAGCAACACAGAGCTAGGAAAAACTATATTCCAAAACTTGATTTATGTGATTCAAATAGCACATTCCTTACTACAGGGGAAAATTGGAAAATCACTATAAACATTTGCTTTCAAAAAGGAGTTGCTATTATCATTCCAGTAACACTATAATGCCACACGGACTCAGACATGCGTAGATTTTTCTAATCCAAGTGTTTTCAACCTTGGGCAATTTTCCCCCTCTGGAGACTTTTGATCCCTTTTCAGAAAGTTTGAAACATTTTCCATTCTCACTCTTGGAGGACAGTGCTCCTGGTATCTAGTGGGTGGGGGTCCAAGATGTTGCTAAACATAGAACAATGTGCAGAACAGCCCTTTTCAATAAATAATTATCTGGCTCAAAATTTCAATTGAACCAAGAAAGCCTGGTCTAATCTATATCTTCATCACCAACTGGGACATGGTGACAAATACAGGTCGATAGAAATGATAAGCACTTTTCTTAAAGACCTCCTATTAAGCTAGACAAGTTAGAGTTCTAAAATACACTTGATGTTTAGGCAAATAAGCCTCCAATTTAGCAACTTTCAGTTGTAATATTTTAGGGAGAAAATGGAACATAGTCCGACTCCGGCCATATTATCAAGCAGTGTACCGTCTATGTTTATCAACTGCATTTTAATATGTTTAAACTATGTTTATCAACTACACAAAAGTTCAAACTGCTTTCTGCCACCTCCATGTATTACAAATTAATATTTCCCTGCATGTAGGAGCTAACTGAATTCCCCATGCCTAAAATTAACCAGACCTCAGATTTCAGCAGTAGGTTTTATGTGGTCAGTTTCTGAGGAAAACATTTGTATCTAAAACTCCCTTTCTCTTACGTTACAATCCACTAAAATTTATCTGTCCAGCTCCATGAAACTTAAAAGCCAGAGTGGGAAAGCAAGATGATTTTGACTGTAAACCTAAAGGAAGCTACAAAGATATACCTTCTATTAAAAAGAGGGACTGGGAGGAGACCGTGTTTGTAATTCCAGTGAACTAAAACATACACACGTAAGTCCTTCGAGGTTCATTTATTTCCCAGCAATAAAGTCATTTTTCTGGGGATTTTTTTTTATATCTCTATTTCGAAGTCTGAATCTATAGAGGCATTTACTTGTCTATTTTCTAGGTGTCATACTAAAAGAAAAAAATTAAGTTATGAAAAAACTTAGTTCAAATTTAAAAGAACCACATAGGGTTCAGAAATCCATTGTGAAACCAACACATTCATCTAGGAGAAAGAAAAGCATCATGTAACTGACAAAAAAAAATCCATCTAAATGCTGAAGTTTCTCAAGCTAACAAAGCAAGTACTGTTTGGCAGGAATGTAGAAAGATAGGCAACGTAGCCCATTGAAGCCTTCTGAGACACATAAAGATAAAGGCAAAACTACTGCTTAAAGGGACGAGCTGGGTTCTACACCAAATGTCATTTTCTGACTGTAATCCTGAAATAGAAATTTCGGTCCTTGTGCTTAAAGTTCAAGCAGAAAAACGCCCTATGTGCTTACCAAAAAAAAAAAAAAAAAAAAAAATGAGAAAATGATCTTAACTTTAAAAAAGGAACAGTACAGCACAAGGACTTTTAAATGCAAGATCTAATTTCAGAGAGTTGACCATAGAGCCAGAGCACAGAAGTGGAAAACTCCAAGGATTCTCCTGCACAGCAAATGGCACCAGAGTATGTTTAGACGAACATGTGGTGAGGCTCTTTAATGACGCTAAATGTAAAAAGTTTTGTTGTACATGAACTTGACCGGACTCTTCGCTGCAGTTCCAGCTTCTGAAAACAAGAAACGGCACCAGGCTTACGAAAAGGGTGGTTAAGGGGAGACGTGTGTCCACCGCTTCCCCTCCAAATCCCCCAGGAGGAAAGCTGCTGCCTGGAGGTACTGGGTAGCCAGTCAGCCTTACAGAAAACAGCCAAGGTTTGGAGCGTTGTTTTTGGCAAGAGGTAGGTGTTACCGGCTGCTTCCTGGGGCGCTGGAAGGAATGTGTCACCATCAATCAGAAAGTACACTGAGCCCCGTGTTTAGGTCACACAGGGAGTACTGCCTCTTCAAACACGAATAAATCATGCCAATTCCAGGAAAGGAGGAGAAAGAAGAGTTGCCCGAAAGGTGTTGGCGCCCCGTGACCTGCAAGACGAAAAGGAAACCCCAACTTGTGCTGAAGGGAACTCGGTGCGCTCTCGGGTTACGCAGAACTCCGAAAACCCACGAGGGCGGGTGCTTCCCCGGGGACCAGCGCCGCCCTAGCGCCGTTCGCGGGAAGACCTCGGCGGTCCTGAGGGGGGCGGACAGTCCCTCCCCTCGGCCGTCCTGGCGAAGCGCGGGCTCCCACCTACTCACCTCTGCAGTCCTGGGGAGGGACGCCCCCCCCCACTCACCTGGCCAGACCCGCGCGAAGGGCCAGTGGATGAATGAACTGCCCCTCCCCACCCCACCCCGGGCGATCCTCCCGGGACACCGGCAGACCGCGGGAGGGCTCACCTGTGGGGATGCTGGAAGGCCTCTCCGGGTCTGCACCCAGGCATGGGATCCGGAGCCGCAAGACGAGCGCCAGCAACAGCAGCAGCTGCGACTTCACGCCACAGTACCCCATCTTCGGCCTCTCGAGGGCCGGCGCCGGCCCGGGCGCCCCCACCGCCCTGCAGCGACGCACTTCTCGCGAGAGCGCGGGGACCCCGGTCCGCCGAGGGCCGACGACTGCGGGCGAGAGGCGGCCGGCAGGCGGAGCGGCGGGCGGGAGGCCGGGTTCGGGCGGCGCGGAGGCGCGGAGGAGCGGGCGCCCCCCGGCGCCGCGGGCCACTTATAGGCTCCCCGAGGGGGAGGCGACAGGGCGGGCCGCACCCCGGCTATTGGCCGCCGGCTGACCCGCCGCGCCGGTGCGGTCGCCTCCGTTCGCCTTCCCCGTCCCCACGTCTGGGATTGTTTGCTCAACTCCGACCTATTTAAGGAGCCGTCTGCGGCTACGTGTAGAGACTCACGCAGGGCCTCTGGCTGGGACAGGGAGCGTGCGCTTAAGTTCGGGAGTGGGCCTGGGAGAGCCGGGAGGGGCCGCGGGGAGGCTGGCGCGCGGGCGGCGCTCCCCGCTCTGCTGCCTCAGCACCAGGAGCCTCCGAGGGTGCGATTCTGCCCCTCTCCGAAGTGGGAGACACCCTCTCATCAGAAGCGACTGCGAATCCTCAGCAACCTCCCCAGACGCTAAGTCATGGAAATATATTGTTCCCCCACCACCCACCCTTAATCCCTACCCCCGGGGGCAAGCTCCTTCCCTCTGTGGAAGGAGGGCCCTGGTTTTAGTTTGCTCCGTAACCCGAAGTTTTTTAATTGTCCGGCGAACATTTCTTCCTCCCCCGCCTGTGCCGGGAGAGCCGGAGACGCTCTCCAGTAACGGCTTGGAAATCCTGCGGGATGGGAGTCCAGCGTGTGTAACCTGAGGCTGTGCCTTACAAGATCTTCCTTCAGTGCACATGGAAAATTACTCCCGGCGTTGTCTGGACGATCTCTCCGGTCCCTGGCGCGTCCTCCTCTGCTTCCAGTTTTGACTCCTGTCTAAGCAAATTCACCTTTTCTGTGCTCCGTTTCATCACATCTTAGCTCGACCGCTGTTCAATCTGTTAGGATGAGCGGGGGCAAAAGCACAAGCGTTGACAGTTTTGCTCATATACTTGATGACATGAGCTATCTTATGGGAGAAAAAGAATCAGACTGGTAATACGGAGGTATTCTGTAATCTTCTACCCCTCTTTAAAATGAAAACAAAAAAAAAAGATTTGAGCCAATGCCCTTTCCAACTCTGAGCCTTTGAAGTCAAAACAAAATGATTGGGGGCGGGGGGGCCCCTGGGTGGCTTAACGGGTTAGGCGGTGGACTCTTGGTTTCCGCTCTGGTCATGATCTAAGGCTTGGTGGGTTCCAGCCCCTCCATGAGCTCTGTGCTGGCCGCGGGGACCCTCCTTGGAATTCTCGTTCCCTCTCTCTCTAGACCTACCCAAGTCGCACTGTCTCACTCAAAATAAATAATCTTAAAATGATTGAAAAAGATAAACCATTATTATCAATTTTTCATAATATATAGACAACTCACATCTATACAGATACAGTCGCATATCAATTTAATGGTCGCGTTAAAAACAGGTGGAAAAACCTGCAAAGAAATGTTGCCTGGGTGTGACATTTTAGAAAGCCATTTCCTGTGCCCAGAACTAAGCCAGTTGTTACTGTGTTTTGAAGGTTTGGTCTCAGTATTTTAAGAGGAACATTGGAGAAAGTTCAGAGAAGAGTAATAACAAATAATTAGAGATGGAAAGTATGACCTGTGAGAAGAATGAAATAAGGTTTATTCGGCCTGAAGAAGAAAGAGCTAGGGAATGGAGTCCTTAATAACATCCCTCAGTGTGTGGCCAGTGCCACTCCTTAAACCAGGCAGAAAACAAACAACATCAATCCTCTGAATCTGAGAACCCAGAGAAATGGCCGGTCTTCCGGTCAAATCTCAGTCTCCAGAATTCCAAAACCTGGCTACTTGACCTGAACTCTGCCAAACTTTTTGAACAGGACTCTTTCCTTCTCTGGTCATCCAATATCTTCAAAAATTCACCTGGTTAGCGCGAAGCTTTCTGCCCTGCCACAAAAGCCTAGCTTTTGCCCCCATGCACACTTAAACAGCCTCTCCATCTCCCAAGTGTGCGTGTATTTCAATTGCAAAGTCCACCAATGACTGCAGGTTATGATGACATTTCTCCTCTATTGAGAGTCACAAGGTCAGGGTTATAAGGCTTCTATAAAGCAAGTGTTTCTGGGGGGTTTTCAAATAGCCAGGCACATTTATCGCTGTCTGAAAGAGCCCCAATTCTGAAACCAAATCTTTCCTGCCTTCTTATATTTCCAGCTGTCTGCTGAACATTTCTGCTTGGACATTCCACTGGCACAAACCCCAAATGTCTTTAACTCATCAACTCCAGATGCCACTCACAGCTTCTTCAGCTCTGTTAATGATACTTCTGCTCTCTAACTCACATAGCCTCAGACATTTTCTACTTCTCTCCTTTCACCCTCGCAACACACGGAACTAGATTCCAAATCCTGTCATTTTTTCCCTTGGACCTTTTCACTCCATCTATTCCTTTCCACTCTCACTGCCACCTCACTAATACACTCCTGAATGTATCCTAACTGTGCTGCCTGAGCTGTTTCCTAACTGATCACTCACCCTGAGGACCCTCCCTGCCCCAGCACAATACCACTATGGACTGTGCACAGGTGGATTCATCATACTCAGATTTTTTTTGGATTACTTTATCCCCAAACTCAGAGATTTCATAAGGAATTTGGAAACAATCCAAATCCCTTAACATAGAATTCACATTCCTTTACTATCAAACCTAATCATCTTTCCCTATCCCCTGTACACAACCAATATGGTTTGCTTTATTATCTCCCACAGCAAAGCAAAGATTTGTCATTTTCATTCCTTAGAGTTTGGGTAAAAATCAGTGTATTCATTTCGGTTTTTCCAGAGGCCAACCCTGAGCCAAGATTCAAGGATCAACAGTTTGCTGGGAGTTTCAAGGGAAAGGGGTAGTTGAGGGTGAAGTGACAGAGAAAAGGGAATTTAGTCAATAACGGGCACATTATTAAATCTACAACAGTATATGACTGGAGTTCAGTCCCCCAGAATTGATGTGCTTACCCTTCAGAAATATCCTGGCCAAGGCGGGAGAGAACTGGGATATATATACCCTAACACTCATTACTCATTAGGAACTGAGGGGGAACTTGTTAATTCTGAAGCGTTCCCAGCCTGCTTATGGTTGTAGGCATAGCAGTCCCCCAGTAATGATGCAGCTCTTGGCCATAAGTCACGTTGGCATATTTGGAAGTGGTATAAAGCTTTGAGGAGAAATGAGAGAAGCACTAACAGCATCTGCTCAGCCACCGTGTCTCCGATCATGTTGTCCCTCCATCTAATAAGCGCCTCTCCAAACCTTTCCTTGGGCTAACTTTTGTCAGGCTCAGGTGCCACCTCCTATAGGAAGGCCAACTTTGGTGCCCCATCTTCCCTCAGGCTGGGTTAGGTACCCCTGTACCAAGCTTTCTAACTCCTGAAACAAACCTCTCTCATTTTGGACAGTTTTTTATTAGACTGTTTGTTTATTGAGGGCAGAATCCAATTCTTCATCATTGCATATTAAGTAACTGGCTTATAGTAGCATGTGCTCACTCACTTGTTTAGCCATTCAAAAACCATTGACTGTATACTTACTATGTGTAGGCACTGTTCTAGATGCTGGTAAAACACACATTCCCATGAGAAAACAAACATTCCTATCCATTTACTCTTATATAAAGAAGGAGATAATAGGGGCGCCTCGGTGGCTCAGTAGGTTAAGCACCCAACTTCAGCTCAGGTCATGATCTTGCCATTCAGAGTTCGAGCCCTGCTTTGGACTCTGTGCTGACAGCTAAGGGCCTGGAGCCTGTTTCAGATTCTGTGTCTCCCTCTCTCTCTCTGCCCCTACCCCACTCACACCATATCTCTCTCTCTCCCTCCTCCCTCTCTCTCTCTCTCTCTCTCAAAAATAAATATTTTAAAAAAGAAAGAGATAATAAATATATAATGGTGATAAGTGGTAGAGAGAAAATAAATCAGGAAAGGTAACTAGGAAGGACCAAGGAGGAGCGTGTATGTTGCATCTTTGAATAAGAGGTCCTAGGAAGTCCTCATGGAGAAGATGATGCTTGAGCAAAGACCCAAAAGTGGTGAGGGAAAGAGGTGATTGTACTGGAATGGAAACTGTGTTCTGGGAAGAAGAGACAGGAAGTTTAAAGATTCTGAGGCTAGAACATATCCAGAGTGGTAAAAGAAGGCAAGATAGCAATGAGCAGGAATTCAGTGACTGTGACTAGGACTAGAGGGAGATGTAGCCTGAGAGGTAACAAGGAGGGCAAAGGTAAGGAGATATGTGGGCAGAGTGAAGTCATAGAGCCTGCTAACATCTTTGGTCTTAAGCTAAGTGGCTTTGGTAATAAGCCACTTACATCTAAAATAGTCAAACTCTTAGAAGCAAAGAATACAATGGTGGTTACCAGGGGCTGGAGGAGGGGAAAATGGGAGCTGCTAATCAATGGCCTTAACATTTCAGTTATACCAGATCAATAAGTTCTAGAGATCTGCTGTACAACATTGCCTCCATAGATAACAATAATCTCCTTTACATTTAAAAGTCTGTTAAGAGGGTCGATCTCATGTTAAGTGTTCTCGCCACAAGGGATAAAAGAGAGAGATAGCATCATCTGGATTGTTGTACACATAGCAGTGACATGGTCTGGTGAAGGATTTGAGAAGGATCACAGAATCCAGATGCATGGTTAGACTAAGGAGCATGGGTGGGGAAAATGAACTGCAAAGCCTGGAGACCAGTTTGAAAGTTAATGCAGTGGTTCAGAAGATGATGGAGCTTTCAGCCTGGTTGGCAGCAATAAAAGCAAGTCAGCTCCAAAGTAGATTTTGATTGCAGAGCCAACAAAAGTTGATAGTTTGAATGTACGTATAAGAGAAAAAAAAAAAGGAGACAAGGATATTTATTCAATGAGTATTCATTAAATGAATGAAATAGCCTTTGGTGTGGAGGGAAAGGGAGAGATTAAATGAAATAGATGAGAAGGAACAACAACCTGATAGCCAAGGGATGAAACTTGGAGAAGACATACACTTTGAGGAGGAAAAGAGGAGACAGCAAAGGAGATAGATAAAGTCAGAGAAATAGCACAAATTCTACAGAAGAGAGAGCTGGGAAAAAGAAGAAAGGCTGGGGAAAAGTCAGTGCTT